ACCCTTTTTGTTTTATTCAACTCCCAAATATGATTTTAGAACCCACAAAACTTTTGAAAGCAAGTTCCTCATACTTCTTAAGACGTATCGACCTAAAATAAAACCTTGATTCCACTGTTTTTTTAAATTCGCAATGAGCTACCGTATCTGTAATTTACATTTGCCTTTTTCTTGGCTCTTGCGTGGCTCGGACATTCGAAAGCTGACTTGACTTTTAAATTGGTTTAACCCAAGGAACACAACCAAATGCCGCCCCACGAGGTCCTGTCAGTGGCAGGAGTGACCTTCAAATGCCAAGCCAAAACCATATCAACAAACTTAGCCAGAAATGCAACAGTTTTAAGAAGAGCGGGCAAAAAGGTAGTTACCCGAAACGAAAACTTTGTGTGCAGCCTAATGCAAGGGTAAACACGCATGCCACGCCCCCTGTAATCGCTATAAGGACTCCTTTTTTTTAGGAGGGGGGCTTATAAGGGGAGCATAACATTTCGTAATTGAGGCGCAAGTTTCTGATGGCATGATATGAGTACGAGTACGAGTACGAGTAAGTTCAAATGCAGCCTCGTCTTGCCTCAACGCTTCGCATGCCTGCCACACAATGCCGCACATGTGGAGATTAGAAAGGGGGTGGTGGTGGTGGTGCAGTGTGGGCGGTGGTGCAGTGGGCGGCAGTGGGTGGACGGACTGGCCTGGAGACGCCAACGCGTCCTTGAGCGCACTTTTCTGCCACTTGCCTTCTATTTGTAATTTTAACGAGCTTGCCTTTGCCTTTGCTTTTGTTTCTTTGCATTTCCCGCTGAGCTGCTGTATTGCTGCTGCTGTTTTGCTATTTTGCTATTTTGCTTACTGTGTACTGTGTGTTTGTGCAGCTCCATGAGTGGCGAGCACTTGTGCAATATTTGCAGCAGACGCTCAAAGGACTTTCTCGTCTTGTTTTTGCCAGCCGAATCTTACCCTTTTCGTCTGTGTCTCAGAAGTAAACGAATTTCCTTCAGCATTTCCTGGCTGTCTCGCTGTGCATTTGCAGAAGATTTGATATGGGGCGCACACACACACCTACCCACCAAGAAAGCAACTCTCTTTTTTCCTGCCGCCCCCTCCCCCCCGGCAATTTCCGGCGGAAGCGCGAAAAACTTTTCCAGGTATTTAAGTGGCCTCTCCTGCGCCTTCAAACTTGGCAACATTCCCTAGGCCAACTACTTACTTTGGCCCATTCACCGCATTCAAGATCTTGGCGTCTTCGCCTTGCGCCATTCTTCAATGTGCACACTTCCGTTTCCGGCCTTGGACATCGAGTTTCGCAGAGCGACAGCGCCAGCAAAACAACCAGCTCAAACTGCAAGTATTTTTAATCGTAATAGACGTCCAAGTACTGTTCATTAAAAATTAAATAAAAAAGCAAACTTTCTAAATAACGGGGCGCTAAAAGTTAGCCAATACAATTTGGGAAAACGCCACATTGGATTCCTATGCACTAAAAAAAACGTAGCCATTAAGTGAATTTAATATTTAGTTTAAATATTATCCGCTACGATTTTAATCTCTTGTAGTTGACATTAACTACAAATAAACAAATATTTAATATACTAATAATAAAAAAAAATAAAATTATAATAAAAAAATAATTAAACAATTACTGTCATCGTTCCCAATAATTTTCAACTTCATTCAAATATTTTACTACCTTTTTAATTCAATATATATATACTTATTTGTAATCCATTGTTCTATTAACAGAAATGAATACTGAAATTTGAACTTTTCATTCTTAAAACCGATTTAGAAGCCCAAATATACAAAATAAAAGTTTGAAAATAATAATATACAGTCATTAATTTGGTGTAAAATTGGTTTATACCCAGCAATAGATGAATGTATTTATTCTTATATTTATACTACTATCACAATATTTATCACAAAATTCCTAAAAATTTAAAAAATAAAACACAACTCTCATTAGCTAGAAGAATAGTTAGGTATTTTTTTAGGCAAGAAATATCGTTTAGGCCATAAATTATACTACCCAACTTGGGCTAACCAACACAATTCTCGACTAAGTGCATACACGGATATGTACAACCGAACGTCCTTAAGTAGGGACTACAGTAATGATTTGCATATGTCTTTCGGCTGTCGGGACACGACATGGCATGAAATACGATTTCGTATTTACTTTTACAGCAAATTGCTTTTAGTGGCTGCGACTTGGACGCGCCTAACAAATTATGTAAGCACTTTCAATGTCCCCGCTGTGTGCGAATGTGTGTGCGGTTGTGGCCCCTGATTTATGTTCAAGAAACGCTCGAGACTTCCACCGAAATAAGCCCAAAACCAAAATGAACCGCAAGTCACCTTCTCACTCATAAGCCAATTTTAATTAAAGCCAAACATTTTAGGTAAACTGGGAATGCAAGAAAAATGCAATAAACTGGTAAAAACTGGAGGAGAAGAAAATGTGTCAGGGAAAATGCGGAATTTGCCATTTGCTGGGTGAAAGTGAAAGCGGAAAAGAAAGGAACGCAAAGGTATTTAACTATGCACTCTGCTGACACGGTAAAAAAGGAAAGGTGTGTCCTGTGGACAGGACAACCGGAGAGAAAGCCAAAGTGAATGCAATGAGCCGAGGGCAGCAAAAGGCCTTCGTCCTCTAAGCTCATCAGGCAACTTTTCATCCCATTTTCCCATTTTTTATTCATTCAAGTTTTGAATTTGCGATGCAAATTAATTGGTCTTGCAAATTGTTATGGGGCAGCTAACCAGAAATATAGTTGGCATTGCATAAAAAGCAAGAGACTAAAACTAGGAGTACTAACTTAAAAACGTAAACTTTAAAATTGTATAAACTGTTTTTCACACTCCACTAAAGCAAGAGACTATAACTGGAAGTACTAAATTAAAAACTTAAACTTTAAAATTGTATAAACTGTTTTATACACTCCACTAACTTGTTAGCATTCTTCGAAATTTGTTTATGTTTTTCAAATGCTTATATTCGTTAAGATCGTATTTCGACACCAAAATTAAAAGAGCGATTGCCTTTAACAATCTTTTAAATATAATGTACCCTTCACAACGTTATTTATTAAATACCTTTATATTCATTTACTTTTAATTTTCCAATCTAGAGACAAGAAATTTATAATAACAGAGCTTATTGGTTATAATGACCTCGATTACAGTATTTGTTAAATGATTACGCCCCCAAAATGCCATCGATTTTAGGAGCAGACCTCCTTTTTTTCGTGGCTCCACAATGGAAGGGAAAATGGTAAAGTAAATCGATTTTCGCCCAACCGAGGTGGTCATTAAAGGTGTGTTCTATTCTGCTAGGGACAGGTGAGCGTGACCTGGCAAATTACTTAATTAACGCACTTCTCTCACAAAGGCAAACTTGGTCTATGTCAGTCAACTTCGGTGAGTATTTCGAATTGCAAAGAGACCAGACGTCGACCTTGTTACTCACAGACGGAATTGTGTGTAAATGCCATTGAGTTTGGTATTTCGGTGTGGGACTTGACCTCTTGACCTCACCGAAAATCGACGAGCAGTTTAAAATTGTGGGGAAAATCAATGGAATTCGAGAAACTCTAATCACAGGCTGTCACCCCGAATGCCACAACCTTTTGTGGCCCACATTGACAGGCCTCCATTAGTGAAATCAAGTATGCAGACTTTGCCAATTAGATGAATTTTTTATGTTGCCAACAAATAAGCCATAAAAAGTGTCAACATGTCCTGTAGACAACCAGGACACAGAGTATGTATACCTATACACACGTTCGCCTTCCATCTACATGTAAAACAAAAACAAGTTTTCTCTCCCATAATCTTGATCTACTTTTCATGTACCGCGCAACGAGCTCTTTGGCTTATTATTTATTGGCTTTTTGATAAGCCAAATTGCCAAGTGAGCGTCTTTCTTTACGACTTCATAATGCCAGCCCTCTTCTGTAAAGGCATTCTCATAAATCTTACGCCTAAAGTCTGAGTGGTTTTTTGTTTTTCCAGTTTGATTTCTTTGTGACTCCTTCGAGGGCCATAAAACAATTACCAGGACCTGTTTAAAATTGCATTTGCTATTGACAGTGGGCAAGCTGGAAAAGGCAAACAGGACACACAATCACAGAAATGGGTCCCTCGCCCTGATTCTCAGTTTGAAACACATTCTGTTTGCCCAGGCCCTGGGACGATTCTCGCATGTCTGTCAACATACTCCACAAATTTGCTTTGCCATTCAATATTGATGCTTGCTAAACATTTTCGGTCGAGTCGTGATGATTCGAATCCACATTGCGCATACGACTAGTGAACAAAGTGGTTAAACTCTACTTTGGTGAGTGTCGACAACTGGCTAGATTTTATTTGCTTAAGATTTATAACTAATTCGAAATGATTTACTGGGGGTTCAATGGAGCATACGTGGGGAGCTAAGGAGTATAACATGTTTTTAAAGAGTCTAAAGGACTCCAAACCTTTTAAGTCTAAATTCTATTTACTAATAAATATATTCAACAATGAGCGTTCCAAAAAGTTTTTGTTCTAATATTTATGTTATATATATATATTATATATTCTAATTACTTCTGAAAGTTTTTATAAAAGTATTAAAAAGTTAGTAAAATAAAGAAAACACTTAATTTTTTTAGCATGTTCAGCATATGTTTACTTAAATTTATTTAATACTTTGTTAAGTCCTTGATGGAACTCCCATTGCAAATAATAACTACTGAAAATAGTAAAATAAATCAATTGTACTCACTTTACGTCTGTATTATTTTTATAAATAATGCCACTTGCTGGAGCCATTCGTCGATTTCATTTCCGAATACTGGTGTTTATTATAGCAGCTACAGGTTATTTAAAGTATTGAATGCTTTTCAGTTAAACATATACTTTTCAATGGTTATGGATAAACAATTACACTTTGCACGGACACAAAAAATTTAGCTTTTATTTTCTCTTTAAGCTAGATTTGAAAATATTAAATATTTTTATATTAAACTATACATATATATTTGATTTGTATTAACACACGTATGTAAATAACTGATGGTTTATTTTATAGACACCAATCGAATGAGAACTGCAAGTAGAAAGAGGTAAAATAAATTAGATGTCGGAGTTACAGAACTCTTTTTAACATTTTAGTCACATACACCACCCCTTACCCCCCCTCCCTTTATCTAATTTTCCAAAAAGCCATTCCGTGACCTTGCCAAAAACATTAATAACAATTCTCCTGGTATAATTTGTTGTAAATGCACGCGTTAGTGGAGCTAACCCAAAAGCAACGCCCACTGAACAATTTGATTGCACAATGGCTAGACACAACAACATTTTGACAGGATATCCTTGCTGGGTATGTGTGTGTGTGAATTGGTATAAAAGCACATAAAGGATAATAAAGGGTTTAGCTACGCATACAAATGACAAAAAAGTATATATTGGGTTCACATGTGTTTGTCTGTACATTTTTAGGAAAAATGTTTCGTGTTGCACAGTGGTAATATATCTGTCTCTAAAATAAAACCTGTGTTATCTATCACAGAAATAGAATACATTTTTGGAGTGTTTTTGTGTACTTTACGCAGCAAGTAAATACAACTTAAGAAAAATAAATATGCAATATTTATTAAAGGATAAACCTAAAAAACAAATACATACAAACATAAAACAAATTACATAAATTCAGCAAAGACATTTTTAGAGCAAATAGATAAATATAATCCATTTTTTCAGGAATGGGGATACAGAAGTCCTTAATATACGACTTCTTGGAAGCTAACCAAATGAAAACAATTTCCCCACACGTTATTTCCACATGTTATTTTGCTGTTAATGTGGGCTCTGTGTTCTCAAAGGGTCAACCCTTTTTTCTAATACTTTTATTCCCTTTTGTCATGTTTGTTGGAGCAGCTGTGCCAAAGGCATTCCAAAAAAGAGATTGAGATCCCATTTTCTGACATTTAATGCACGTTTCCAGCATGTTCACCAAATAAAGAATAAATTTCGCTAGGGCTTATGTCACATGAGTAAAGCCATTTACATATAGATGAAAATTTCAGCAGAATAAAAACAAGGATTAAACATGTTCCTCCAAGGATTTAAAACTCGCATAAAAATCCTTGAACGAAAGAAAGCATTAAAAAGTGCATGTTTACGGTTGCCATAAAGTACGATATTATAAAAATAAATTCAAAGCTGACAATATCAGCGCAATAACGACTCCCTCCATTTACGAGTTGCCTCTGTTGTAATACGTTGCTTACGACCATTCCAAAGTATAAAATAAATAAAATATTTAAGGTGGTATTACATTTCTAGGAGTTAAAAGAGTTTATGGTTCCACATGATGCAAAAATTTCTGATGTAACTCACAAATTTAATCTTTCCTTTTTATTTCACACTGTATTTTCTAATATATTATAAAACATATATGACGCAAAAATTTCTGATAGAAGTCACAAATTTGATCTCCCTTTTTGTTTCGCATTTTATGCTCAATTATATTATAAGACATACATATATACTTTATTCGTAAATATAATATATACCGTGTAAATATTTGTACATCCAACTAAAAGGCTTTTAAGCTGCATTCTTCACTATGCCAAAGGCAATGAATTACTCGTAGACCGTTCAGTCTATCGTCCGAATTTAAACGCACCTTAAATTATTCATTGGGAATTTTCACAAATTTGTGGCCCCTGGATTAATTAATATCTTGGCTGTAAACGAATAAATTATGACCCCTGACAGGATTTCTTTTATTTTTCCAAAAACCTGTGGCCCAAAAGCCAACAACAATAAAAAATACCAGGCCTCACCCACGCAAACTGAAAATGTAGGTCAGCAATGTGAATTGAAAATCAGAATAAAAACAAAAACAAATACCACATGCTCAGACCCACACACATGCGGTGGGAAAATGTGTGCGAGTGTGTGTTCTTTGAGCTTTGTCGCAGTGTAAAATCAATTTTCATGAAATGTGCCACGCGTCGTATGAGTAATCAGCGGGGACAAGCCAAACAAACAAAGCCTGGGCACGAACAAAGGGCAGAACGTATGCGTAATTCGTGTATTGACGGCGGCAACATATTGTGGTATAAATCAATTTAGCGCTAATTTCAATAAACCAAACGGGCCCATAAAACACCAATTGATATAATTCGATAAGTAGAAAGGATGGCGGCTAAGGACCAAGCCAACTAGTCGACCAGTTTATGGCTCGGAACTATTTTTAGATGACCTTGCTCAATGGATTAGACCATGTGGCTCTGTAAATCCATTAAATTATATAGCTTATGGCTTTTAAATGAAAAAATCGGCTTAAAAAAGCAATATATTAGATAAAATCGAAGGTAAAACAAAGGAATATTATCTTATTACAGGTCTAAGGATATGTAAAGTCGATTCCAAAAAATGTAAACTAAGTTTTCTGGAAATATATATATATATGTATAAAATATACATATATAATTAAAATTGATAGTGTACTTTAAGACAATAGAAATATATCAGCGACTTTTAGTTCATTTCAATCAAAATTTAATAAACTGCATCTTTCATCTGCGTTCAAATTGAACAAAACATGTTTGATGACCTACCACCAAAGGAAAGTCCTGACTAGACCCCAATGTTAAAAAATTTAATAAATAATATGGTTTTTTTAGATATGTATGTATGTTTTTTCTCCACTCAGTATTTAAACCACCAAAAAATTCTTAGCCACTTAAAAACTATACCCCCAAAAGTAGGCAACTGAATTTTTACCTTGTTTATGCGTTTAGTTGAACATTAATTTCTGGTACGTTTTGTGGTTTCAGTATGTTTGCATTTATCTGTATAATTGAAGCATTTTTGGTTGGAATATTTTTTTTGCACTGGATGATAGTTTTTGCTTGCAGTTTTCATATCATCAGGACTATGATGATGAAGTAGCAACAACACATGAGAATCTTAAAGTTGGGCAATTTGTAGCCTTTGTGCTTTTGTTTGTTTAGCTTGGCCTGCAACTGCAGTTGAAGTTGGAAGTGCTCGTAGCCCGAATTGGATGTGCGGATGACGTTATTCTTTCCACCTTCGTGACCTCCGTCGCTATTGTCACCGAATTTGATGTCGTCGCAGGTTTTTATGCACATCTTCCACGGCTGACCTTTTTTTTGCTATTCGGATTATCCGGCGAGAGAATTTATTTGATTACACTTTCACAGTTTCACAATGGCTTTTCCTCGTGTGTGCTCATTTCCCTTTGCAGTTTATACGCGCAGTTTGTTATCAAAGTCAGGGGTTTTCATGGCTGACAAACTTTGTCTGTAGCAATTTTCATAAAATATGTGAAAAACCAAAGAAGAACTTCAGTTAAAGTTAGTTGATCAAACATTTGCTGGCCAAAAATCCAAGAGGTTAATAAACATAAAACGGAAGCACCAACTTAAACTGAAAGGAAATACAATGATAGCTCGTTGAGGAAAAACAACAAGCAAAAACCCATTGAATATGGTTAGCAGGAGGAGGCTACTTCCTTGGACACACAATGTTGGTGATTTTTGGGTGGGTACATTTTTGAAGCACATTTGTTTGCTAACCCTAGACATATTGCCAGTGTATAGGCTTGCCAAGGAAATTAAAAACGAATAAATAAAAAGATAAAAGAAGAAGCTAAAAAATAGTTAAAAATAAATAAAATACATGTAGCAAAAACTAATTCTCTATTAAATACATGCTTAAAAGGCAAAGAGTACTCAAATATAAGTGGACAATTCGTAATTATAAACCTTCTCTGTATTTCTCATCATTTAAAAAAATCAATTAACAAATAACATTTTTTCGTCTCGCAAAATTAGGCGTTCTATAACATTGAAATTAAAAATCTTTCCATTAAATTAATGTAAATGTTCCCTGTAAGTCTTAGAAACGAAAATGTTTAAAAACCTCAACTATTTCCCAATTAATACATTTATACATTTACGTGTAGATAATTCGGTTTTGCTTATTTTAGGCTATCAATTTCTTTTATAAACGATAGGATCAACTGTCCACTTAAATAGCTATCCCCGAAATTCAGTTTTTACGGCAAAGTTTAAGCTTCTACTTTTCCTGACCATGAAATTCTTCGTTTCCCAAGCAGTTAACTTTATCACGCACCCGTTTTCAACCAACGGAACAGAATGGCGAGGCATAAAACATTTGTTTTGGCCAAGGGTGAGGATGCTCCAGGGAGTCCTTCGGACCGAACGGAGACGACAAACGCGTTTAATTCAATCTCATTGGGAAATATCGCACATACGCCACGTGCGCCCCACCGACAGGCCCCACCTGGGCAAAACTGGAGGAATAATAATTTTGCGCAAGTTTGCAACTTTCACTTTTCACTTCATTAGACGCAAACTTTTGGCGCTGATATTGTGGCTGCTTTAGTATGTCGCTGTTATTTCCTCTTTTTTTTGGCCGTGTGGCAAACGCTTCGTTCGCCTGCGTTTTGTATACTAAAGGGCATGGGCTTGCCACTGGATGCCAAGCAGCTGCGTCCTCAGGTCCTGTGGGAAGAAAACTCTCTGTCTCTCTTGGCTCTCTGGGTTTCTGGCCAAAAAAAAAAGAAATGTGCGCGCGCAGGAGCGTCCGGAGAGTTGCCAACTTGGCCAGTTCCTGGCTTGTTTATAAAAACAACAACACAACAGTTGGGGAGTACGAGTACCCTTATATGTAGTATGTCCATAGCCATCGTCGTTGGCCATGTTTTTCAGCTGCTGGTATGCTGTTGCTATTGCCCGCTGCACTTAACTTGAACTTTTGGAGCTGGCCTGTCGAAAAGTTGGCAGCGGACAACTTCAAGGCTTTTTAAAAGATTTCACTTGACGCTGAGACATTCAGGCGTTGGCCTGGCCAAAACACTCCCATATATTCTCTCACCCATATATGTACGACTACTCCTTAGCCACATCCTTGCGCGGCTCACACGCCCACCAAACGACTTTGAAACAAATTCACGCTGGCCTTTGGCTTTGGCATTGGCCACTCTCATTAAAGCCAGAAGTTATTGTCTTGTTTGGCATACAAAGCGGAATATGTGTATGTACATAAGAAATACAGCCCATCAGGCTGACTAATTTGATGCTTTCAGCTTAGTGTCTGTCAATGAGTCTATAATGGAGCCCAAATGACTGCTCAAAATGTGGGTTACAGCCGCATTTGGCTAAGACAAATAAGAGTCAATCTCATCGTGAAGAATAATAAATATATGCTCATCGGTCATATACCATACATGGTCTAAGACAATTTCAATTCTTCAATTACTTCTTAAAATCTTTCCTAAGTGATGAGCAAAAATGTTGTAATAAACATAAAAATACTTGATTTTTTATGGTATATCAATGCAGAGTTATTACCTCTTAAAGGTTTAAATTTAAGCAGCTAACAATTGGAATTTTGCGGTCTCGTCCTTGAATTCTCCAAAATTGCTTTGCCTCTCTATCTATCGATATACCTAAACAGAAAGTGGTTTGGTTTCGTTCGGATTTGTCCAGAGCAGTGTACATATAGCTGTTTTGCATATCAGCTCAACACTTAGCACTCCCTAAGCCCCCGAACTCCCCACCCGAGCATGGTGTTATATGGAAGTCGAGGCTGACTTGGGTATTCAACGAAATTATCATCTCGCTGTGCACGATTCGCCTTCGTACGTGTCGTCGCCTGGATATCCATGGAACCGGAGCTTTCGCCTGTCCTTGTGCCTTGGATGGTGGCCTGTGGAAGTCCTGCTCATCCCGCTCATCCAGCCCCGAACCACCCACTTCCTATAGCTGGCAGTGCCCACGGTCAAGCTGCTTATCTCACGCAAAACACTGGTTGCTTTGGCGAAAGAAAACGACGCGACTTGCCAAACAGGAATTGGGGCAAAAAATTGCAAAAGTGAAATGTCGAAATCTTTTCCATTCAAGGCAGAGAACGAAAAGTAGAATCGAAAAAATGATACACAAGTTTATAGCGTGCCAAAATCTTTTAGTTTTTTTGTCCACCCATTTCAATTGTTTGATCCGACTTTGCCTCAACAAGTTTCTCGTTGAAGAACAACTATTTGCCTGAGTTAAAGCCTCTAGGCGGAGGGGTCATAAAAAAGTCAGGATAAGGAATTCGCAATACTCTCGGACATGCACAAAAACCGACCTAGGGGTAGGATTTCAGCCGAGGCAGTTAAAAGGCAGTTTTATATTCATTACAAGTCAAGCTGCATGGCCCAAAGAAACAGCAACAACAAATGACAATAGCAACAGCAACATCAACAATTTACGACTCCAAACCGAGTAGGTCGACTTTTTTATCGTTACCTCAGTTCACCTCACATAATAGCAACCATTTTCCTCCTGCTCACGAACACGTAGCCACCCACGCTCACAAAATGGCCAGTAAAAAGTAAAACAAAACCATACAAAACACTCTAAACGAGTTTATGTCTTTAAACCAATATTAACGTACTTGGGGTTTATATTAAAAAACTCCATAAATTATTTTGTTTTTAGATATTTATTTCGTTTTTTTATAGTTTATTGGCGTTTCTTTTTCAAGATTTAATTGAAAAATCTGATTGTTCAGTTAAAAAATAGATTTAACAAAAAAAATAAGATCGACTAATAACTTTTTAAAAACAATATTACAATAAATATAAAAATTCAAATTGCATTTAGAAAAAATACGATAATAAAAGATACGAATAGGACAACATTCGTTTGTTTATAGAAATCATTGGTTAGAACAGTTATAAAAAAAAAATAAAAAAAACAAAGCAATATTTCAAATAAATAAGAGGTAATTTTTTATTTACCAAGGCTTTTCAATTTAAAAATTACTGTTCAAAAAAACACTACAAAAACGACTTCAGATTGATTTTAAAAATTAAAACAAAAAATTATATTTTCAAAATTTAGAATTTTTTTTCATAAGTATTAGCTTGTAAGAGATAAATAATTTCAGTTGAGAAACTTTTTACTGAGAACATTTTACGAAATTGACTAGGCAAACTCTTTTGCCCCTCAATTAATTCTAATTTTACGACTCAAGTTAGTTCAAGTTTTGAAAGTTGAAAGTCAAATACAAGGATCATAAAACGCTTGATAAGCATTTGACGAGGAAAATCTAACGGTAGAATTATTGAAGGACGAGTCCGCGCACTACCACTCAAACCCCCACACATAGGTATATACATATATATACATGCTGTAGACACACCTAAGGTGAAGCCCCAAGTTGGCTTAGACAACGGCAAAAATATTGCAGTGGCGAACAGGGGAACAGCTGAAAAAGTGAAAGTAATGGGCAGGCCGAAACTTTTTCTTTCGCTTAACTAACCTGGCTGAAACTCTACTCCGCTCAGCTCAATCTGAAGAACTTTCGGTCCGCAGTTTTCCGTTTCTGCCTTCTGCCTTTGGCGATTGCTTATTTGTTTTGCGCTAAAAATTAAGCGGCCACGAAAAGTTTGCGGGTTTGGTAAATTACTTTACACGCCACTTGAACACGCCAGGCAACGAACAAACCAACCAACAAACACGATCCAAACACATTTAATTAAATTAAAAATAATAGATAATGCTGAACGAAAAAGGAACTTCAAACAAACTGAATCGTTAAATCTTTTGGTTTAGGTAACAGGGAAAAGCAGTGGAAAGTTCAAGGAAATTAAAGGTATTCCTAAATTCCACCATGTTTCTGTAACTAAATTAATATATAGTAAATAAAGAAATTGCCTCCACCTTTTAGACAACTCAAGGACTTGTCAATTTTCACAATTTACCCTCACTGACATCGGCTGATGTTGGCAACCCATCAATTATAATAACGATTGGCTTTCAATGGGAATATGGGATTGTTATCAGATATCGAGCACAGCAATTACTCTGCACACACACTACAACCCATGGGTTTCGTTTCTCAACTGATAAGTGGCCAACTTATTCAAGGAACGGCTCCAGTAAAACAGGATACAGAAAGTAAAGTGGATAGAATGGTTAAAGTCAAGCGAGTTGGCCTCACTTTATCGGGCAATTTCTGGCTGCTTGCCATTAAAGTGCCACGCATAAACGAAGCTGCCTGATAAGAGATACATTTTTTTACATACTTTCGTTTAAAGTTACAAGCGACGACAGCCACAACAACAAGACGAGTGATATAGGTTTTTGCACTAGACACGCACGTTGACATTCAATTTAGTTAAATGTGGTTTTATTGAACATATCTAACATATTTATATATTTTTTAATCGGCGAACAGCAAGCACACAGATCTATTCAAGCTCTTCAAAACTGTTTTTTTGTTTCGGAAATGATTATTATAGGTATATAGATATATCTATGTTCGTTTTATCTTTGGGTATTTAATTTAGCTACTGTTGCTGTTTGTTGCTTTGGGGAAATTCTTCTGTATATTATTTGGTTTTTGCTTAAAGGTGCTGTGAGTGTGTTAACGAAATGAGGAAAGATTGTCTACTGAGTGTGCGAAACGGATCCGAGTCCTGTCGAACCCAAGGAGAGCTGCCTTCGCCGTACCACGGCGCGTATGTGTGATATGCGTTTCGTTTTGTTTTAGGAAAGTGCGCGCGCAAAATGCCAAACAGCTGTGCCGTCTCAGCTGCTGTTAAAATCTCTTTTAAAGGAGCGAGAGAGCGAGCGGGAGAGCGGAAGAAATGGCTAGAGAAAGTTTCCTCTGGGGCGCACGCTCACAACAGAGAGCGGGTGGAGAAAGGGGGGTGCTAAAGTGAAAGTAGCCTTGTTGATTAACATCCTTCAGAGTTTACCCACATTGGAAAGGTCGCCAATTTCACTGATAATAACATTCCTGCATGCTGGCAATGCCGCCACAGCTGTTGCGAGAGCGAAGCGGAAACGGAAAGAGCGCACCGGAAGTGACTTGGCCAAGTGGGATTTCCCCAAGCAAATTCAAAAGGCCAACAAATATTCCTGTTAGCCACAACTAAAGCCGGAAAAGGCATTATGTTTCATAATTAAAATTTAAGAAAAATGAATAAAAGAATTAAAAAACGAATAATAGCGTAATTAAAGCCCAATTAATTAGTAAATACTGTTTCAGTTTTCCACAAACAACCAAATGTGTTGAGCAATGACAAATACTTATGTTTTTAATAATTACAAAAAAGCTAATTCTTTACCCTTAAAGTAAATGTTCTATAATACAATAAACAACTTAAATTGCCTAAGAACAATTTAATTAAAGACTATTGAAGTTTTATAAGCGCTTTACTATTATAGAAACGTAAATGAGAATGGTTCATTCCAGTAGTACCACCTTTTGAGAAAATGTAACTCAAACCAAATACGTGACGGTATATCGCGAGCATTAGCTATCTGAGAAGTTCCGTTAGTCAAATCGAAATTATTAAAGCTACATTTACATGACGATTTCTACGCCGAACACGAAGCCCCAGCAACCGGGAAAAATGACAAAGCAAAAGCATAAATCACTATATAACCCACTGAAGTCAGAAACTTCGTCGCACTCAGCGAAAATGGGCGAAATGTGGAACAAACCGTATATGGGAATAATAATCTTTTGCATGGTGGTCAGCAATGCAATGGCCATACCCACCGAGTTGGCCAGATACACCCAATTGGGGTAAACATATTAATATGAAACCTATTTAATTTAATAAAGATTATTTACTAGACAAGGACCATTACCGGAGGCCAACAACAGTGTAGTGAGCACCACGAATAACCTGGGTGTTAATCTGGACACGTCCTCTCCAGCTCCGGACTTTGAATACGCCCTTCTGGGTGAGGATCCAAAAGATCAGCAATGGTTTCGTGTTAGTCTTACCCCGAAAACCAACAAAACGGGCTTCCGGGCACAGTTCGCAACTAGGAAGCATCCGCCCTTCGATTCGCAAGTGGCCCATCGGCACGATAAGACCATTCAGGATCTACTCAACTGGCTGGACCGTTCCGAGGATCAGAGTCTGTTGAAGGTTTATCGTGACCTCTTGGCATACACGCCGCAGGCAGAGCCATCCCAGGAGTTTCCCCATGGCAACGAAATCGACAAAGAGGAAAAGGTGCCAAGGAAGCAGGGATGCCAAAGACACGATCATCGACTTTTCCTTGTGGAAGAAGAGGGAACCAGCTCTACAACATCATCACCATCAGGGCAAAGTCAACCCCAATCGGCAAACAACTTGGTCTACTTCATAAAGGGGCTTAAGTAACCACTAAAAGTTATAGTACCACAGTTCGTTAACTTCACGTAATGGTACATTAAGCTATAAAATTAAACAGTATTTATATATTTAAAATAAAGTATTGCAGCATAATCAACATTTTTCTATTTATTTGCAACTGGGTCTGGTGGAATTAATAAATTTATATTGGGGTTTCGCGCTCTTCTCTTTAATGTTTATACTTAAAAGATTGTTAATTCTAAGAATAAGTATTTGAAACATATTATGAAAAATGTTAATCTTTTTATCAAATTTAACTGGAATTTTAAGTATTGGTGTAACTTTTAATACATATATTTGACATAAAATAACTAATTTATTGACTAATTAATAATGCTTAAAAATATAAAGATGTTTTTTCAGCTGGCTGCAAGTAAATGCATACTTAAATATAAATATTTTCTTTATCAAAGAATTTAAAACAACATGGTTCCTGAGCTTTTGGGGCAAACAGCTTTCGCCAAATTCACCTTTTTTCTGAAACTTTCACCATTTTTTCTCTTATACTCGAGTTAACTTTTATAATAAGCTAGGCCGGTTTGTTGAAGTTTTTGAAATTGTCTGATAAGCGAAATGCGGGCAACTGAAATGGGGTCTTGACAACGAATTGTCGGCCCAGTTAGCTGACACTTGCTGCTCCACTTTGGCTCACGTTGAGTGGGGGAAAAAGAGAAGAAAGCAAGTCAAGAGCACAGCAAGAAACTTTGAGCTTGACCTGGACTTTGGCGGATGATTATTGCTTGGACTCGCCCACAGTGGCCTGGCCCTGCTCATCCCTGTTGGCCCGCTCCAGGCGGATGTCCTCCAGCTCGTAGGCCGCGCGGTAGGTCATCTTGCCCAGCTGCTCGTTGTAGACCAGCAGACTGGGATTCAGGCGCGTTGAACTGCGATCCCCTAGAGATGTATATCCCTGGTCGTAGAGGCAGCAGTAGGGCAGATTATTGGACCGCAAATAACTCCAGATGTCGTGGTAGCTCCAATTGAGCAGTGGGAAGATCCGCATCATCGCTGGCCATCCGTTGTCGCAGGGAAGCATCTCGTGGAGATTGCCACCCCCAGGATCGCTGCGGCGGCAGCCAAGGAACATGGCCCGCACCTGGGGATCCTCGGCCACCAACTGCTCAAAGGCCAGCTTAAGGACTCCCTCGTAGCGGCGCATTTGTAATCCATAGCGGTCAACACAGTCATCGACGAACTTCTCCAGCTCCTCAAAGGGATCCGCGGACTTTACATACACCGCCCGCAGTGGAATCGATGGTGGCTTCATTTTGGCTAAAATATCCAGCAAGACCGTGCAGTCCTTGCCGCCATTGAAGCACAGCATAATCTCATCTGGCTTATAGAGACTCATTGCCCGTTTTATCAATTGTGTGGAGTGCTCAAGTTTGTCTTTCAGTTGGTCATTCAATCTTTTCACTTCCACTGGTGGAACATGCAAACCGCGATTCTTAAGCTGAGAATGCCATACTCTGGGCCAGAACTGAGCTACCAATTTCATTTTAACAAGCTTAACAGAAACTCAAGCTAGTTGTCGTATTATATGAAAACTGTTTTACAGCATATAATTTCGTTCGGATTTGTAAATAAATGAAAGCATAATCATTTCATAACCTGTAACTAGATTGCCATTATAACATATGTGATTTATATAAAATTTCGTTTCTCATTAAAACAATCAGTATCAATATTTTTAAAATAGCTATTTTAAAAATTCGAACTTTAACTGAAACATGTAGCTAAATACTTAAGACAATTTAAATAATTAACCCAATTTTAAATGTACTAATCCATAACTAAAAAACATTTCGAAATGTTCTAAAAATATAAAACTACCAAGATTCAGCAAACTTAAATCCGCCTAAATATTTCATACTAAAAGTACGATTGTGCAAAGTAAGCTCATCCACATAAAAGATTTTTTAGAACTTGAATAAAAATATTGTTGCTAAGCGTTTATATAACGTTTATATACGTTGTGCTATGCAATGCATTTTGGGCGTTCCTGAACATTTTTTAAGTTTTAATTAACTTTCTTAATTTTAATTAATTTAATTTTCTAAGAAAAAGTTTGTACAAATTTTGAGTTTTAATAGTTCATAGGGTTTTTAGACATTTGGTACATGTCATGCAGAAAAATATATGTTTTGGATTATATAGTCCTAGAATACCGCATTGTAAAAAGAAAGGAGAATATTATTTAATTTTGAGTTCAGTACAGTGCTTAATATTTGATTTATTTTTTGTGTTTCTCAAAGTTTGTTTCCGTTGCTCTCATAATTCATGAATTTGGCATACGACAATTTGTTTACTCAACAAGTTCAGTGGCTCAAAAAAAGAAGAGGAAATAATTTTGTTCTTTTCTCTTTCTGTTGGCCATGCAGAAAAAGCCCCATACACGTCGACTTCGAGGGGTCGTTGGTAAAGTTGCTAAACTGAAAACTTGGTCATTGCTTGCCTATGCACTTTTGATGGCACAGCGCAGAGTATATAAAGTGCAAGTGGCGAAGGCAGAAGCATCGCAGTCTGCTACCAACCAGTCTAAGAAACCACCAACCATCCAACATGAAGTGCATCGCCATCGTCTCCACCATCTGCCTGCTGGCCGCTTTCGTCGCTGCCGATAAGGAGGATAAGATGCTCGGCTCGTCCTACGGTGGTGGCTACGGCAAGCCCGCCGCTGCTCCTGCTCCTCAGGCCTACTCTGCCCCGGCTCCCGCTCCCCAGGCCTACGCCGCCCCAGCTGCTCCATCCTACAACCCGGTCTCGATCCCGGCCCCTCCCTGCCCCAAGAACTACCTGTTCAGCTGCCAGCCCAACCTGGCCCCAGTGCCATGCAGCGCCCCATCTTCCGGCTACGGATCCGCCGGTGCCTACTCGCAGTACGCCCCCGTCTACGCCCCCCAGCCCCTCCAGTGGTAATCAATAGATGCCATTGACCCCAAGGAACCACTACAATGCAAATAAAAAATAAAAAAAAATATTTATGTTTAACCATAACACTTCATTTGTTTAAATTGGCTTATTTGGGATATAAAGATGGTATAAGGACACAAGCTTGTAGTACAAGCATCTAAGTGTTCTTAAGGGTAATCTTCTAGAAAACCATTGCAAATCAGTTTACTATTATAGACAAGACCATTCAGTTAGAATTAGTTAATATTTAGCTTTTTATATATGTTTACAGAACCAAAAAAAAACAACGTAGATAATTTAGGCAAGTTTGTCTTTAATGGTGATCTTTTAATTAACACATTCGTAGTTAATAAATTTTCGTAAAAAAGAACAATAAACGTTAACAAACTGTATTTCTTATGTATTAAAGTCGCTGATTGAGACAGCCGAAGCACTTGGAATCAGCTTACTATAAAGCTATAACTACATGAGTTGTTTACAAAATGAAATTCGAGTGGCAAATGTTTTAGAATGTGAAGACATCAAAAAGAATTAAATTCGTTTTGCTCGGATAAAAAGAGAAGTCAACCCAATAATTTTTGTTTAAAAAAAAAATGGTTAACTTATTCTTAATAGTCTTCCGTATCAACTTCATCATCAAAGAACCGCGCCGCCTGCAACTGTTTTCTTATGGCTCCCACTTGGGTTAAGATTTTAGGCGATGATGTTGAAACGGTGAACTTTTGCACGGCAGGCACCTGTTAATACAAGACAAATATGGTAAGAATGTTGTGTAATATTATACGTTATTATACATACCTCCCAGCGCTTTTTTAGATTGTCAATCCTGCGCTGGCCATTTTCAGCCAAGGGTGCACCCGTCTCCTGTCGCGTCATTTTGGGCATCTCGCGAAGCAGAGGCATTGAGAGATTGTGGCCAGCCGCCTCCCTGAGGACAACATCCCTTCTGGCCAACGACTGTGGCGTCGTTTGAGTGCCCCGATGACGAGACTCGCTCTTGCTCCGCTGCAACTCCATCTGCTGCAACTTCTGGCGCTGTTTGGTGGCCAAATCGCCGTAATTCTTGAGATAGCGGGACAACCGCTGATCCGTTTGACGACGCAGTCGCTCCACAGCCTGCTCATCGGCGCTATCTACCTCGAGACTGGTGTTGGCACTCCCCGAGGTCGTTGCCAGCTGTTCAAGGACAGACGGCTTTACGGGCGTAGCCTTATAGTCGGCATGGAATACCGAGTTGCGCGCTATGTTAACGGAGTATGGAGGCGACACATCGGATAGACCGGCCGTAGAATCTTTAGCTGGTGGTACAGAATAGTTCATTTCCAAGACTTGAAAGGCGTCGTTTGAAGGCGGCTCCCTGGTGGTTTCCTTGTCATTAACATGCGTGCGTTCCGTGTCCCTGCCGCAGGCTACCTCCTCCAGGCAAAACGAGCACAGATTGCGGCGACAATTCATGCAGACATTCCGCTCCCGCTGGCACGCCCGGCAGACATCGCTTTTGGCTAGGCACTGGGTGCACATGGCATACAGGCGCTCACATTTGTGGCACACCAGGGCGTAGCTGCTCTGGCAGTTATGGTGAGGTTCCTCCTCCCGATCCTCATCCCGGTCCTCCTTCTCCTCCTTTCCCTCTGAATCTTCTTCCCGTTTTTCTCCATTTTCTCCATTCCGCTTGGGCTCCTTTTGCTTAAGTTTTACAGCCAATTTCCGCTGGCATCGCAGACAGCAGCTTTCGTAGCTCTTGAGGGGCTCATCGCAGAGCGGACAAATTTTATCGCAGAGATGGAAGCACTCGCGCTCGATCTTGGCCATTTGGGGCACCTCAAAGTCCAGCTCAACTGCCGGCGGCAAGGGCTGACCACGTCTGTACTCGTGATGGGCCGAGTTGCTGAAGTATTTGTACACCCGGTTGGCGTTGCTTTCTGTGCTGATATTATTACTGGCGTTGTAGCTTTTGCCTTTTATGCGCGAGGTCCTGGGCGTGTCGGCTAGATTGTTGGTCTCTTTGGCTTGCAGCAACTGGGCATCCTGTTCCAGCTTGGCCAACAACTGTGCGCGCATCAAGCGGTTCTGTTCCGAGTCGATGCGAGCCTGTCGGGAAAGTGAACGATAGTAAGAGAAAAACAATTACGAAAACAAAGCTAGAGTGCAATTAAGTAACATTACATGTGGACTAACAAAATCAGAGGGCGTA